TGACAGAACGCACGTTAAAAGTATGCTTGCTACAATGAACGCTTGGCGGCGAATCCTTGGGCCACTAAATTAACATATTAACGACAGATAAATTAATATTTCATATCAATAATTGCATTAAAAACGATATTTCTTGCCCGCACTTGATTAAAAAGGAAAAATATTTCACATAATTTTATTTATTCGCAACAGCTGACGAGCGACGCACGCGAAAAGTTGAGAGTTGGCCATCTTTTTGCTTTGTGTTGGCGTGAGCGTTGTCGAATTTTGGCTATGTGGACGGCTGCATTTGAATTCATGTATTCATAGTCAGCTGTTGAAGCGACGCCAACGCCAACGCAACGCCAAAGTTCTATGTAAACGGGCCTTAAGAATGGTGGCGTCTTGCGCTCGGAAAACGACTGTCAAAAATTGTATGAATGATGCTTTTCGCGGCCTAGAAAACTTTCTAACAAACTAGTTGCGGAAACACCATTGGAAAATAAGAGCGAGTTTACACGAGGACTTTTCACCCTGGGGGGAAAGTCTTGCGTATGGAGCTTGTTGGCAAGAAATGTAAAGAAGTCAGCGGGGTAGGCAAGCACACACGGGTCGACGTAACCGGAACGACACAGATTTATATTTGGCCAAGGACTGTCACTCCAGCAACACTCCCCAAAAATTCTTTGGGGAGCTTGTGTGCTGCTAAAACAACAATAACAGCACACACGGTGATCGAAATCGAGGGTTCTTTTTTTGACGTTTCACTTTTATCGCATTCACTTTTTCGTATTTTTACTTTGAGTTCGAGATGCGCTCCGCTTTAAAAATGAGGACGAAAGAGTTGACCAAAGAAAATTTTACGCTTATATGTGAAAAAACGCAAGAAGCGCCGCAAGGAAAAAGTCATCGTGTAAATACACAAGGATTTTCGGAGACTCTTTTAGAAGCGAAAATACAAAAAACTGAGGGTAAAAAGTCGTGGTATAAATTAGCTCTAATTCACGTTTAAGAGAATCCCCTAAATAGTTTTTGAAGTCGGTTTCATAAGGAAAATATTTGATTATGTATTTGCTACAGCTGACAAACAACGCAGGCGAACAGTTGAGAGATGGCATTAGCGTTGCCAAATTTTCGCTGTGTGGACGGCTGCATTTAAATTCATGTGTTCATAGCCATCTGTTGAATCGACGCCAAAGTCAACGTAGCACCAAAGCTGAATGTAGGCGGGCCTTCATATAAAATACATTTTACGTTCTCGAAACGAAATAACTTTTACTCGAGAGCATAGGCTTGGTCACCACTGTAATTCACTAAAATCAGATCACAAATAAAGATGTTCTGTCCAAGGAATATACTATCCAAATTTGGTTTAATTCCATTTAAGTTTTTGAGTCAAGTTTTAACAAAGAAAACTGCTACACTTTTATATCTAAACGCCTTGT